CCTCCTGCCCCTCTCACTTCCTCCCCCTCTCTCTCTCTCAAAGTAAAAAAAACAAACAAACAATCTAGTCTAATACATGTAACATAAAATTTGCCATCTTGACCATTAAGTGTATAGGTCAGTGGAATTAAGTATATTCATATTACGATGCAACCATCACCACCATCCACCTTCTGAACACGTCATCTTGCAAACCTGCAACTCTACCCATTAAACAATGACTCCCCATTCCCTCTTCCTCCCGTCCCTGGAAACAACCATTCTAATTTGACTTGTGACTACTCTGCCTGTGACTACTCTCATTATTCATATAATTATACAGCATTTGCCTTTCTGTGAGTGCCTTATCTACGCATCATGAACTCAAGATTCATCCGTGTCATATTATAGCATATGTTAGGCTTTCCTTCTTTTTTTAAAGCTGAATAATACCACATTATATTATATACCACATTTTGCTTATCCATTTATCCATTGATGGATATTTGGGTTGCTTCTACCTTCTAGCAATTGTGAATAATGCTGCTATGAACATGGCTGTACATCTCAGTCTTTGAGACCCTGCTTTCGGTTTTTTTGGGTGTATATCCAGAAGTGGAATGGCTGAATCATATGGTAATTCTGTTTTTATTTTATTGAGGAACCACGACACTTCTCCAAAGTGGTTGCTCCATTTACATTCCCACCAGCAAGGCATGAGGCTTCTAGTGTCTTCACATCCTTTCCAGCCCTTGTTGTTTTCTATTTTTTGAAGTAACCGTGCTCATGGATGTGAAGTGGTAATTCATTGTAGCTTTGGTTTGCATTTTCTTTTAAAAATTTTTAAAGTTTATTTATTTGTTTTGAGAGTGTGTGTGCACGCGAGAGTGTGTGTATGTGTGTGAGTGTGTGTGCAGGGAAGGAGCAAAGAAAGAGGGAGAGAGACAATCTCAAGCAGGCTCCATGCTGTCAGCATAGACTCTGATGCAGGGCTCGATCCCATGAACCATGAGATCATGACCTGAGCTGAAAGGGATGCTCAACCGACTAAGCCACCCAGGCGCCCCTGGTTTGCATTTCATTGATGATCAATGATGTTGAGCATCTTTTCCTGGGCTTTTTGGCTGAGTTAGCAATTTGCTTACAGGCTGAGTTATTTCCTTTTACCTTTTTATCTGAGCTTCTTTTCCATTTCTACCCTTGAATTTAAATTGCAGCTTATTTTCTTTTAAGTGTTGCAGGACATTTTACAGACCATCTGAAATTTGTCCCAGGCTTTGATGATTCTCATGTCACCCTGGAGAAAATGGTGGAGGTGGGGTAGATTCAGGACCATATGGGGACAAATACAGGGGAAGAACTGAGTAGGGGATCAAAAGCTGGCTTCCCCTCCACGCTTCATGGACAAAAGCAGCCCGAGGGGCTTGTGAACTGGGTGCTGTCTAATTTCAGAGGATGTGCCCTTGCGTGTGCTATTGCCATAATAACAGCTCCATGATGCTACCACACAGTTAGGAGAATGCCTCTGTTTTGAGCCTAAATGACATAGTCTTTCATGTGGGACTCAGGCACCTCTCTTCTGTGTCACAGGGTGACAGGGAACAGCTTTGGGGGATGGAGGCCAAACCAGTATTGCCACAGGGCCTATGGCCCTGAATTCTGTGCAATGTGTCTCTTTATTTTTGTCCCTTTCCTTTTTAAGATCCACTGAGACCTTTTTTCTTTTTTTTTTACATGGTCACACCATGGCCACCCCATGAGACTTTTTTTTTTTTTTAACATGGTCACACCATGGCCATCATAAGAAGCCTCAGAGCTAATGATAGTTAAAATACCTCTCGGAAATTAAAAGCCCAGAGAGTTGGTTGTGTGATGCTCCTATTAGCAGACTGCCGGCAAATTAATTCTGTAGCATTTGAGCATGTTTTTGGCTGAGGTGGCCTGTGCCCCACCTTCTCATCTCCTTCTCCAGAGGAGTAAGGCCTGGGGTCTTGGGTGAACCTGTACTCCAGTGAGAAGTCAATTTAGAAGCACCTTTCTAGCCCTGAGGAAAAGGTTCCTCATTCAGTTTAATTTTCAAAAGTTGCCTTCCTCTTTCCACTTGATGGAATTCAGCCAGAGTCCAGCTGTGCTCCCTGATTGACAGGTGGGGCTAATTTCATGCCTTTCTGAGAGTTTGCATGTTGGGTGTGCTACTGAGTTACAGGTAGAGCATTACCTCCCATGTCAGCCTTCCCTCCATCTCCTGAGCCAGAGCTGGGAAGGTGTGGGAGAACAGTCCAGATGGAAAGGGACTGCGATTATTGGTGACCCAGTTCCCTTCCGTTGAAACTGCCATGCAACCCAACTCAGAGTGAAGGAAGGATGTCGATAAGGTGAGAGAAAAGTGAGGTTCTGATGAGTGTGGGACAGACTGGGCTGAGCAAAAGATGTGATGAATCATATATTCTTTTTTTAATGTTTTTTTGTTTTTGTTTTTTTGGTTTTTTTTTGAGAGAGTGTAAGTAGGGGAGGGGCAGAGACAGGGGGACAGAGGATCAGGAGTGGGCTCTGCACTGACCGTGGCAAACCTGATGTGGGGCTTGAACTTAAGCACCGAGGGATCATGACCGGAGCTCAACCGACTGAGCCACCCAGGCACCCCAATGTAGTCTTAATACTGGAGCCCAGGTGTTTCATTGCAGAACCTGTAACTATTTCTTCCCTTTCCAAGGTGTGGAATGGTGCTTTATTAACCTTTACCTCACTCTTCTTATGCAGATGATCAGGCTTTTGTTTTTGTTCAGCTGAATTCAGTTCAGTGAGCACTTACTGAACCTCCCTTATATTCAATGAATGTCAGCAATTGGTGAGAAGGAGTTTTCTTGGCACCATGGTATGCATTCATTAAGAGTCTAATGGAAGAGGAAGAATGGAGGCAGGTGGTGGAGCCAGGACAGGGTGGAGAGAATTTCCCTGAGGAGAGAACCAGGAAGCCCTTTTAGTTTAAATCTGAAAATAACCTTGGAACTCTGGCCTTTAAAAAAAAAAAAAAAAAAAAT